TCCCCCTGGCTGTTAGTGTTCCATCAGCCACATTTGTGTCTGCCAGCTTCCCCTTCCCTAGTCCTTCACTGAGTGTCTTCCCATTGTGAGCAGCGTCCCCTCACCCCATTATACAGACCTGTTTCTAGAGGCTAGTTTCTGTCTCTCCTTATGTCCCTGTGTTTTTCAGTTTTTTGGTTACCTGTTCCAGGGACGACAATCTCTTCATTGTGTGAGAAATCTACCCCCATCCCCAACCCCAACCCGGAAAAGGTCAATTTCTGTTTCCAGGAGCAGGTGAAACAGACATTTCTCTTCTGTAGAGCATTCCCCCTCTTGCTTCTCTGCACTCCGCTTGTCCAGTTAAAGTCCCCTCTCATCCAGAATGCTTCCGCATCTCTGTCCTCACCAGCGGCAGGAGGTGGGTTCTGATGCCAAGGAACCCTGAACGCAGAGGCCCGCCCTCAGAAAAGCATGGCTTCTTTCTCACTTCTGCTTTGCTAGGGCAGGGCGGCCGCGCTCAGGAGCAGCCTGGTATATTTCCTTTTCTATTCCTAGGCACCGTAAGTTGGGCCATGTGAAGAAAGAGCAGCGGTAAACAGTCTTCAGCAGTTCTTCCCTTAAAACCTCCTGATCTCCCTGTCTGTGCTGTGAGCTCCTGGGAGTAAGATGAGTTAAATTTGGCTTGCAAAAGAACCAGGAATGTTTCTGCTTAACTCCTTAAGGGTCTCGAGAGAGGGTCCTACTGAAGCTGACTAGTCACCTCAAGGATTCCTGGAAAAGATCCTTCCCTTCTGAAATTGATGCTTCCTGCATCCATGAAGGCTGGGGTAGAAAAATCCTGCACCAAGCTTTGGGGATCTTGGCGTCTAATCCTGGCTGTCCTGGTGACCAATTATGAGACCAGTTATGAACCTCTCTTCTCCATTCTGGGTTTCAGTTTCACCAACCATAAAATGAATTTGATGAATTTAATATTCTCACTAACCTCTAGGTAGAATAACTGGACTCATTCTTTGTGGATACATTCCAAAGCGTATCAGATGTTTCAAGAAACAAGATTCATACTTAGAATTTTCTGGCCATCTCACAAATTCTTTAGCATTCTTTTCTGTAAGCATGGAACTTGTTTCACGCTTGAAGGCTTGCCATGGTGATGATCACCTTGCCATGTTTTAGCGTCTTTTTTTTTTTTTAAGATTTTATTTATTTGAAAGAGAGAGAGGGAAAGAGAGAGAGAGAGAGAGCACAGCAGGGGGAGAAGCAGAGGGAGAGGGAGAGGGAGAAGCAGGCTCCCTGCTGAGCAGGGAGCCCAATATGGGGCTCGATCCCAAGATCCTGAGATCATGACCTGAGCTGAAGGCAGATGCTTAACTGACTGAGCCACCCAGGCACCCCAGTTTTAGTGTCTTAAAAAAATTATTTTTAAAATGAGTAATCAGGGACGCCTGGGTGGCTCAGTTGGTTGGATGACTGCCTTCGGCTCAGGTCATGATCCCGGAGTCCCGAGATCGAGTCCCACATCGGGCTCCCAGCTCCATGGGGAGTCTGCTTCTCCCTCTGACCTTCTCCTCGCTCATGCTCTCTCTCAGGTCATGATCCCGGAGTCCCGAGATCGAGTCCCACATCGGGCTCCCAGCTCCATGGGGAGTCTGCTTCTCCCTCTGACCTTCTCCTCACTCATGCTCTCTCTCATTGTCTCTCTCTCAAATAAATAAATAAATAAAATCTTAAAATAAATAAATAAATAAATAAAATGAGTAATCATTAGGCAAAATTTCCAAAAGCTTTGTTGTAAATTTGCCCTTCTCTTCTGCTTTGGTTAAGGAAATGGTTTGATTTTATAAAATCACATCTTTATCCTTCTGTATATGACGACATGCACATCTCTTTGCATATTGAAAGTACGTAGAGAATGGCAACAGAACACATAATCACCAGTGTCACCTTGTCGGGCTCACCTCCAGTTTTTGGAGAGAACATCAGCTGGGCAGGCTACTACTCAGTTCAGTGAGTCAGCCACTCATCTGAACCTGGTGTAGAATCTTAGGTTCATCTCCTGGTCAGTTTCTCGTATGCAGAGACATTAAGCCTATTCAAAGGGTTAGCCTTAGCTTATGTAAGAGGCGTAAACAGGTCCATAGATTTCAAGTCTTGGCATTCAGATGCTAAAAAGCATTAATGGTTTTACCAGAGCAGACTTATAGGAAGAAGACCTAAATCAATGAAATCTCTTAGGATTTCTTAGGAAAGAGAAGAGAGGTTTGAAGGCAAAAGGGGTATGAATTAGTACTGTTCTCACAATTGCTGTGATCATGGAATCAGCCTCTATTCAGTGCTCACTGAAAGAAGCACCACACGGTAACTGAGAAGGGGGTGGGAAAGAGGGGTGAAAATTACAGGCACACTATGGTCCGTGATTATATATGTACCTTTTTTTTATTTTGTTTGATCACAACACAACACTTTCATTCACTGTAAATTCACAAGCAGACACAACATCTAAAAATATTACAGACGGCTCAGCAAGTGAAAAGTTGATACGTTCTAGGCTGAAAAGCAAAAAGAAGTTTGGTTGTCACATATAAAAATCTCCTATTTAACCATCGATTCTTGCTTAGAATTTCTAATGGAAAAGGTGAACAGAACAACAACAAATTATGTCCTTTTATTATTTTTTGGTCTAAAGCTAACTTTCCCAATTTTAGAATGTAATATGTAATTTTATGAGAAATAAGAATTGCCTTCCAAGGTATGTTGGATTTGGGCTAATAGTTTAATCAGTTTTTATTCTCTGAGAGCATTCCCATTACACTGTAGAATAAGTCTGCTGGATAATTAATAGGAAGAAATAAATAAGTTTCTGAATGGGTCTTCCAGGGAAATAAAGTAACTATTTAAAAAATGAATTTTGCTGCCAAAAATCAAGAGTTGACTATATTTGGGGAGGAAACGCCATACGAGTGTCAATTAAATAGCCTTAGAAATGTGCTACTCTAGAATTATTTGAGAGGAAAAGAACACGTCTACTCTTTAGGTACACATACTCATGACAGTAAAAAAAGATTGAGAAATAATATCACATTGCCCAGATTCATGCTGGCTGGGAAAAGGCACAGGAACATGGCCAACACTTCCATGATTTTAAAGATAGTCTGTTTCTGAAATTCCTAAAACCCTGAGCTCATCTTCTGACTGGAGACACTCTACCACTTCCTGTTACACTTTTACCACCAAATTTCACTGCCTTGTTGTACCAGCATGTGTTAGGAACGTAACACATATAACACGGCAAAAAGAAGTAAAGGACTAATTCACACAATAATTAATAAAAAGTGGGAGATGGTTAAAATTTCTAGATACATAAGCCAAGGTGACAAGTTTTTCCTTGTCAGGCACATTACACACAGTTATTCGTCCATTCCTTTGATGACTCATATGGCTGAAGAGTTTACCCACATATTATCTCATTGATTCTTCACAACCCCCTCATTAGGAGCTATCACAGGTATTATCTTTGTCCCTTTGAGAAGCTTTACCAAGGGTCACACAGGGGACAGAGCCGAGGCTGGATCAGATCTTCTGGTTCTATGAGTTCAAATTCCAAAATTTGAAACACCGAACAACGAAGGTGCGTTAGAAAGTAGGATGAGCCCTCCATAAGTCTGTGGAGTCACTGAATCTCTTTGGGCACCGACCACCCATTTGTATGTCCCCATCTTTCTTGGGTGCCCAGGGCTGTACCACCAACCTTCACCGTCTGCCACTAGATCACATGGCTTCATTTATACTGAGGAGTAGAAATATGGCAGGTATATGGCAGATATGCCCAAGGGTATATCCATTTTAAAAGAAAAACAAGTCTTAATCCAAAGGATTAATAACTGTGATGGACTTTGGGCACTCGTGATGAACACATCTTGCTCTCAAATCGTGACAATGAGGGTGAGAGCTGGTGGAAATGGAAAATGGCCAACAGCGGTATCCATGAGGTGTTGTGTCTACTTTCAAAGATTCTATGTTTCACAAGCATGGATACAAGAGAAGGAAAAGAAGGACTTAGGAGGAAGCCTAATTGGTCCAAGCCAGAATAACTGAGAGGTAGAAGCAGTATCATCCTTTGACCTGGAAAATCTGAGCTTCTGACCTGAGCTGTGCAGGCTTTCAGACCTCTGCCATTTGCACTTCTCCCCATGGAACGAGAAGTCCATGGAGCCAAGAGAACATATTCATCCTGAGCCTAAGCCTTCCCTGGGATAAGTCAAGATATCCGGAACCCCTTACTACCTTGACCAAATGGCTTCCAGGGTCTGTGTGGCTTCTCCTGATAATGAGTCTCACCATGTATGGGCACAGCCATAAGCCCAAGGGGTAGCCATGGATCAGTGCTGGGGAGGAAGGTTTGGACAGAACTTGCCCATGCATATTGCGGTGTCCATGTGCATGCATGTAAGGCTCCTCCCAGTGAGAGTCAGGAACAGAGATGAGAATAAAAGGGTCGAAGAAAGAACTAGGAGCCTGTTTTATATTCTTGCTCCAACCCCACAAACGTTAGGAGTGAACTCAAGCCTAAGGACAATCCTAGATATGGGCTACATCAGTACCTGATGAGTAGCTGAGATGGTCAGATAAACCATCACCCTATAAACACATGTACCACAGTCCTAGATGCCTACTTGGGTTCCCTTCCAGAGAGCCTCTCATTTCAGGCTTTCTATGCCCCAATATTTTTCTTGGCTTAATCCTTATTTCTTTCTGCCAATTAAATGTTGTCAACATACATAAGTTTCACCAGTGCCTACTCTGCACAAACGAAACTTTCAGTGAGTGTTGGCCACTGGTGCTGGTATCCAGTCACATCAGGTTTAGGAATGCTGAGCTCCTTGAGCACGGTGTTCGCACACTCGTCCATGCACTCTGCCCTCTGCAGCAAACCAAGGGTTCTTGGTTGATGGTTTGTATCCCAGGACACCCGTCCATGTCGCAAAGGTCTTTGTTTAAACTTTGAAAGGTCCATCAGGTTATTTCAGTCTGATGCAGTCCACCTCCTCGGTGGCCGGTACCCCTGTGGTTTTAAGATCAAGGTCTGCGCTGGACTTACTCCCATTGTAGGAAGACTTCCAATGGAGCAGCATGATCTTCTTGAAGTACTTGACGGTGTTGTTCTTGACGGTCACGAAGCACAGAGTGTTGATCATGCTGTTGCTCATGGCGATGCACTCGACGACGTAGAAGGCGGTGAGGTAGTGCTTCTCCTTGACGAACACCGCGGGGAAGAAGTCGCGCACGATAGTGAAGCCGTAGAAGGGCGCCCAGCACAGCACGTAGGCGGTGAGGACGCCCATGAGCACCAGCACGGTCTTCCGGCGGCAGCGCAGGCGCTTTCGGATCTGCTCCGTCTGGAAGCCCGGCACCGCCTTGAACCACAGCTCGCGGGAGATCCTGGCGTAGCACAGGGTCATGGTGACCACAGGGCCCACGAACTCGACGCCAAAGATGAAAAGGAAGTAGGACTTGTAGTAGATCTGCTGGTCCACCGGCCAGATCTGGCCACAGAAGATCTTCTCTTGGCTCTTAACGATGATGAGGACCGTTTCAGTGGTGAAGTAGGCAGAAGGGATGGCGATGAGGATGGACACCATCCATACCAAGGCAATCAAGCCAGTGGCTGTTTGATACTTCATCCTGGGTCTCAGCGGGTGGACAATGGCCAGATATCTAGACCAAGAACAGAAATAGGGTCAACCACAGCCAGGGGGATTTCTGCGTGATGGTACTGTTTCGGCAACAACAGAAGGTGCACGTGTGCAGGATAAACAACTGTGTGGGCTCTCAAGAGAAGCAGGCTGAAGTGCAAACCACAGTCCCGCCCCTTACTGGCTATTACAAGCTCAGGCAGATTTTGTTTCATCTCTCCGAATCTCAGTTTTCTTACCTGCAAAATTAAGGTTGCTTGTTTGTGCCAAAGTGTATGTGACTTTTTGGCACAGTTTTAAATATGATATATCTGCAATAAAGGGTAGCTGTTATTAAATGTAGTAGTAATGCCTTCCATTGGTTTCTGGTCTGGCACTATTCCCAGGTCCTTCCTGTTTCCAGGGCCATTCCATCCTAATTACCCCACTGTTTAGAGGTAAGAGGGCCTGATAATTACAAAGAGTTGTCAGGAGAACTCGCCCTTTCCAGTGGAAGCAGTGGGCAAAGTTTGGCCTTTATTCTACATTTTTTAAAATATTGCTCTGTATGCAAAAGTGAAGGAAGAGCATGTGACCACTTTCCTTATTTTCCAGGTGTAAAAAACGGAACCTGGAGACAGGTGAGTGACTCTCTCAAGGTCATATACCACAGGACCCTTGATAGAAAACATTTAGCCCTATCTCATGGCTGATGTGAAAAATCAATCAAGAATATACATTGAATGTATTTTTTTTTAACCACAAAGCACCAGACAGTAAAAGGTATTGCTTTTGCCCTTTTGCAAAAAACCACACTGTTGTTGCCATAGTGGTCCAGGAACGGGGAGAGAGCACTTTCTGGGGGATGTGAGTCATTTGTGTTGTATGAAAGCCTTCTTCCCAGAGAGCTCTGGTTTCCTGGAAGACTTTCTGTGTCTGGCAGGGAGTAGAAGTTGAAGAACGAACAAGATGGAGAGTGAAGTGGAGGGAATGGCTAAACAACTTTGGAAATAAACACATTCTCACGTGTCCATGGCTTATCCCAGGTAGAGCCAAGAGCAAATGTGAGAGAAGCCTGAAGGAAAGCCAGACGGAGTCTATTTCCTTTGAAACAAATCTCTTTGAGGTCATCGTTCTTGGGATTTTGATTGGAAGAAGAAGTTCATTCCTATTTTTTTTTTTCCTGATTATATTCCTGCTGTTTGTGTCCCTCTTCCCCCAAACACAGGCAGCCAACCCCACTGAGTGTCATTTGGAGAGTTCGCTGGAGTGAGATTCCCACTCTCTTCCAGAGATGAGAGATGAAGTTGGATGGGTTGGGTCCACCCTCTGTACACCCAACTGGCTGTTCCACGTGCTTGGCCACTGGCAATAGTCCCTGTCACTCTTGCCAGTCTTTCGAGCGCTGAAGGGTGAAATGGGAATGTCTATAGGGTGTTGGCAATGCTCCTGTCAATGCACACGTATGGCCCTTCATAAAGACCGCAGAGCTCCCACTCTAATGAGTGCACAAAACTCACTCAGACTCATAACAAAGTCTAAGAGTTTGTCATCTTTGCTCTCACTCACTCTCTCCCTCTTTATCTGCCCCACCATGTTCTGTTGATTATTCTGTCGAAGAATATTTCTATACTTGTTTACTGCATGAATTTTCACTAGATAATTCTATTCCTTCCTTTCTCGATGGCAACATCCTAAGTCTTTATGGTGTTTCAAGATCAGAGTGTTTTTCTCAATGAACGAGCAGAAGAGGAGTCTGAAGACCAAGAATCTAATTCCAGCTTGGCCACAAACTTGTTATATGAATTTGAGGCATTTTTCTTAGCCCTTAGTGGGCTCAGTTTGCTCCTCTGTAACATGGGAATATCACCTGCCTCGCCAACCTCACAGAGATACTGCAAGGCTCCAGTTAGACACTGTGAGAGAGGGAAACTCTAGGACTCCATAAAAATCTGCCTTTTTGCTCCTTTTCCTGCTTCTATTCTTGCTAGGAACCGCAGCCCCACTTTACAAATGCCTCACAACTCAAAAAGTATATATCCTCCTTGGAAGGGATAAGAAGTCAATGATTTTTTTAGAATAGGTATCTCCTAAGGAAGGACCCGGTGAGAATGACCCGATGAAGCCGTCAGATGCATATTCCAGAACCCCCGGGCCCTGGTCTTTGTTCTAACCAGTTCCTGGATGCCTGAGAGGACACATATACTAGACCACAGTTCCCACTAAAAAACTCCAGACCTCAAACAAAAGAGAGATTCCCTCCTTTCCTTTCTGAGTCTCCCACTCTGTCTGTCCCTGCACTCTCCCTAAACCTTCAATAAACGGCTCTCCCCTCGTGCTGGCTCATGTTTGCTTTCTGTCCTGCGCGCAGCCAGGAACCCTTTTGGCTGGTCCTGCGGGACCCCATCTGGGTCCTCAGACCATAAGCTTCAACCGCGCATAAACAACCATAAGCTTCAAATTTACAAGAAATTGTCGGCAACATAAAATGTATTTTTTCCGAGCTATTCTGAATACGTAGCAATTTTTTTAACCTGTTATTGGCAAATAGTTTGTTTTCAGGTTCTCTGCTACTTTCTATTTTATTGGATCTATTTATCTTCATGTCAAAATTAATCTTCAGGGTAACCTGTGACTCCCCATCAGATGTTCATCCTATCCCAGCTCTCTGGGCCTTCACCCCGACTCCATCCCCAGGGTTAGCATGGGCTGTGCAAGAGGCCCTCCAAATCTATTTACCAAAAGGAAAATCGCTAAACTGTTTCACGGATTGCCAGCGGCTTTGGCTCTGCTAGGATCAGAATTCCAGAACTCTAGCACAGTAACACTTGCTTGTGTTTGTAAAGCAGCTTACAATTTACAGAGCATTCTTTTTTTTTTTTTTTAAGATTTTATTTATTTATTTATTTGACAGAGAGAAAGAGATCACAAGTAGGCAGAGAGGCAGGCAGAGAGAGGGGGAAGCAGGCTCCCCGCTGAGCAGAGAGAAAGACGCAGGGCTCGATCCCAGGACCATGAGACCATGACCTGAGCCGAAGGCAGGTGCCCCATTACAGAGCATTCTTAAGTCCACTTTCTTATTACATATCCCCAAGTCTATTGAATAGGTGACAGAACGAAGATGACCATTTCACCGATGAGCAAACTGAGATTCGGAGAAGTTAAATACCGGCCAAAGGCCACACAGCTAGACAGCGACAGAATCATGATGCAGACCCATTCATATCTTGCTCCAAGTCCATCTGGGTCTCCAATAAGCCACTTGTCCCCTCCCTTTCCCACTGGAGCAAGCAATACTCCTTCTTCCTACCCTCCTAGCATCCTAGCAGAATCTTAGCACCTTTTTTCTCTTTTTCTCTCCAACACAGTTGGTTTTTAGCTATTGATGTGCCAAGGAGTTGGGCAACTGGCAGCTACTTTTCTCTTCTTATGCATATGCCCTTGGCTTGCCCTATGTGTCTACCAATATAATGGCTCAGGTCCAGATTCGCTTAGAGCCAACCTTTCACAGAGAACAAAGAATGAAGGCTGCTGGACAAAGAAACATCCAGGCAGGGATTGTGTGATGATGGTAGGCTGAATGATTAAGCAAAGAGTATTTGGGCTCCCTCTATCCCCACCCAGGACCCCACCCCCCAGATCAAACCATGGAAATGGTGGTCGCAGCAGCTTCTAGGCCATTCCTGAGATCATCAGGGAATTCAGAACCTGATCTTTGGGCCAGTCAGCCCCATCAGTGAGCTCACCGGGGAGCATCTGTGCGTCCTGAGACCGAGCACAGGTACTCAAGCCTTAGCTGGCCCCATGCAGACAGAAGAGAAGGGAGGTCAGTGGGCAGGCTGGCTGGCCTTTTCCCCCGGGATTCTGGGTAAAGAAGGGAGAGTTCCCCAGTGCTCCACATGCTCTGGGATCTATGGATTACACATCAAGGCCAGTGCAGGTGTCTCCACATCCAATAGGGAACCGAGAACTTGGAGGACAGAGTCGTCTGATGATCTTTTTCAGCTTCCTGCTCCATCAGGTCTGACTACCTATACCTCGGTCTTCTGGAATATGACCCTATCCTTTCTGATCTCGACTTTGCTTCTGTTCCTTGCCCCCAAGGATCCCACAGACCTCCCCAAGGGACTTCATACCTCAAGCATTCCCACCTCGTCTTTTGCAAAAAATGCACTACCCTCGTGGAAAACCTCTCCTGTCCTTTACTGACTCATTTGTTGAAGGCCATTTAAAAGTCCTCCTCCTCCCGTTTGACTACTCTAATACACAGTGATGTCACCCTTCTGTAAACTGCATTTAGAATTTATCCTTTACTTTTACTAAGTGTTAGTTCACCTGCCCCCACCCCTCCCCCTGACAGTAAGCTCCTCCAGAGCTCTCAGTCTTACTTCTTTTGTAACTTTTTGCTGACAGTGAATTCTGGGTACCTAAGACTTTGGTAAAACTTCACTCTCAGCAAGTGTTTGGCACTGAATGAATAGAGATGTAAAAAGCCATCATGACAGTTCTCAAAAAGATTGCAACCTCTTTTAGAAAACAGGACATCCATGTGTTTACCTAGCCTGAGACTGAGAGGCCCTCTGGGACTCAATAATCATAATAAAAGGCGAAGGGATTTGAGCCATATTTTGTAGACAATGGAGTCCGTAAAGGTCTTTGGAGTAAGAGAGGGGAGATGTGTAGGAGAGGGAAGATTAATTTAGCTGCAGCCTGGCTTTCTTCCCTCGGGCCACAGGAGCCTTTTCTCTGTTCTTAGAACCCTTCATGTTCGTTCCTGTCTTGGGGCCTTTGCACTGATAATGTCCTTTGTGTGGAATGCGTTTTCCCAATCTTCGCAAGACTGGCTTTATTTATTTATTTTTTTTCAAAGTTCCCTTCAAATGCCTTCTCCTCAGGGACATTTTCCTGACGAGGTACCTGGAGCAGCTCCCATCCTCCGTCACTTTCAATGTCTGTCTTTTTTGTTCAGAGCATTTCTGAAATTACCTCTGTTTATTTGCCTGATTGTTCTCTCTCTCCACTCCTCTGGGTAAAAGCCCCACTAAAGCGAGGAGCTGTTTTTTCTCCTGCACTGTCATATCCCCAGTGCTTGAACGGGTCTCTGTAACATCGTAGCTTCTCTACAACAACGCATTGTTTGAATGAATGAGCATTTAGCAAGGGCTGTGTGGAGAGGAGCAGTGGCAGCCAGGCTGAGCCAAGAGACACTAAGCGAAGGAGCCCTAGCCAAAGTGAACAGGGTGTAGGTGGGGAGGTGGGGGAGGGTGAGCACTGACCCGTCCTGTAAACCTAAGGCTTGCTGGAGAAAGACGGAAAGCAGCTGTGACAAGGCAGCCTTGCTACTGTAGATGTCTGTGAGAACCATGGGACCAACCACAGAAACAGGAGCTAGAACATAAGCAGTTCTTTCTGTTCTACTACAACTTCACAGCTGCATTTCTTAGAAACCTTGCGTTATCTTCTTTTGAAAACAATCACTTCAATGAAAACGAATCACTTCAATAGAAAACACTCATAAGTTTACTTGGGTTTGTTTCGTTGTTGTTCCTGGAAGGGTTAATTTAAGGAATTTAAGGATTTATAAATTTATAATTTATAAGGATTTATAATTATAATTTATAATTATAAGGATTTATAATATTTATAAGGATTTATAATTTAAGGAATTATAAGATCCACTGTTAATTGGCTGCTTTCTCCAGTTTAAGCCTTGTTCCAAACAATTACATATATTACTTCCTTTCATCTTCAAGGCAACCAATCCTTAGGTCTTATTATTACTCCCATTGTACCCATAAGAAAACCGAGGCAGAGAGATCTTTAAGAACTCTCATGGGGCCGGCTGCTAACACCGCAGCAGTGGGGGTTTGACCCCTGTCAGAATAACCACTAACATGACTCCTCTGATTTCATTAAACAAAAATAAAGGCATTTTTATAACTGGAATGTATTTGTTATATCGAGATACATGTGGTTGCCCCAAATTAACCAAATAGAACCTGAAAACCCCTGATCAAATCCTGAACAACACACATGGCCACACAAAAATCAATGAGGTCCTGTCCCATGAAACTGAAACTGGAGGGTAAAAACACATACAAATACCTCGAAGCAAAGTTCACAAACATCAGTAAAGGAACTTCACACCTTGGAGCAGCCAAGTTCATTGGCCAAGACCCCTGGACGGCCCATGTAGGCAACAGCGCTTTCCTCCAGTGTTTGGCTTCAAGTCTCTAATCACAACCCCACTGTAAACGCTAGCAGTCCCACGAAGCAAAGCATGTTCTCTTCTTATTGTATCTAAATTATATTACAGAAACTCACACTGCAAGAGAAATGCCCGCAGGATTTCAGACAGCTGAGCCTGATATAAAAGTAGGGTATGAACGTGAAAAAATGCAGTAGATGGAGGTGGACTGGGTGACGCAGATATCACGTCTTACGTGTTCAGGATAACCCGATGCCCCTTAACTTATCCTGGCCTCTGTCGCCCTTGAAGCCACTCCTTCCTGCAGTGTGACCCCCTTCTGACAAGTGGGCCCCTACAACCTCAAACGGATCTCGTCCAGGGATCAGGAGCCTGCCCCAAAGCAGGCACGAACGTACCCACTTCTAGTGGCTGAGAGCACGCTGTCTGCAAAGATGTCCTCCTGGAGTGAAACTGCAGGAAAGGACCCTCTATGCTTTCAGCCTCTGCTTTCAGAAAGGCCAGAGACAAGGTTCCTGGAGTCCCTCCTTGACAGCCCTGAAAGGGGCTAAGGGGCAGATAATCGGCTTGACTGCCCCCTTCCTGATTCACCCAGGGTCTGCTCCTGGATGGCTGAAATGCCAAGAAGCTCCGGGATTCCTGTGGAGGACCGTGGCCAAAGTAGCCCTCTTCAGGGATGACGACTCTGAGCACCTTCTTTCCACAGGTGACAGAGCCGGGGCTGCTTAAGAGGTGAACTCCCTGTCATTCTTCCAGGAGAAGGGAGACAAAACCCCAACACTTAATGCTTTTAAAGCCAGGCTTCTTCTTGAGAACAGGGTTTGAGCCCCTGTTCTGGTAGTGGCCTGTTTCCAGGTTATCCAATCTTTGGGTGTTCTGCCTTTGGGTTCAGAAAACAGGTTCCATCTGCTGTACTCTTCCCCAGAACACTGCCCTGGGATGTCCTGATGGCGAGGGGCAGGCTAAACTCCCCCAGAGCCCTGAGGCCACGAAACTGGGAGGGTGTCTGGGCTCCAGGCTCTCTGGGTTCAGGGAGAGAGACGGACTGTTCAGATCCGAGTACACGGAGGCCCTGACCCTCTGGACTGTACTAAGGTGCTTTGTAAATGAGAGTAAACTTTGGGGAGAGGGGTTTGCAAAGATTGTCCTGTGGGAACAAAAATCACCCTGGTTCTTTAGCACAAGTGATTGTCCTAAATGAGAAGACCAAACACAACAGAAGAAAGATTTGCATAGACGGCTCTTACTGCTTTGATTTCCCATCACTGGAAGCAGGTCTTCTATAGCGTTGCATGCAAATGTATGGAAAGGAGCAAACTGATTAACGTAACCAAAAAAAAGAAGTATAAGTATGTTATGTAAAAGTATGTTACCTTTTTTGCTTTCTTTTCTTTTCTTTTTTCTTTTTTCTATTTTGTTTAAAACAAATCATCCATCTTATTTTAAAATCAACTGGTGCTGGGTTCCGGGAGGGGTGATTGTATTTTGAGAAAATCTCCCTCAGGCTCTCCAAGTTGACTCAAGAGGTACCTGCCTGCAACTTGAATTTGTCCCTCCACACTTCCTCTTACCTGTGGACCTCTAGACCTTGAGCAGATACGTCTAAGAGCATGTCCATAGCAGAGGGATCAAAAGCTTTCCCACTGCTCAACTCTAGGGAGCTCTCCTATCTCTGTCTGCCCACAGCTGGAAAACTAGAACACTCCTTACTATTCAGTCAATGGGTCCACATTCGAACTCCACCCTCCCCTGCCATGCATCCACACGGATAGGAAATAAAGATCTCTCTCATCAGTCCACACCTGCTGTAAAGAAAGGGACAATTCCAATGCCCCTTTCCTATTGTCTCTGTGTCCCCTTACTCACCTGTCGATGGCAATGGCCAGCAGGGCATTGGTGGAGACATAGAGAGAGACAGTACGCAGGTAGTTGACAGAGGCGCACATGACATGGCCATGCTCCCAGGACAGCTGGCGCACCACATAGTAATCCATCTCAAAGGGGCAGCAGACGATGGCCACCAGGAAATCAGAGATGGCCAGGTTGGCAATGAGCAGGTTGGTAAGGTTGCGCAGTTTCTTGTAGCGGGCCAGAGCAGCAATGAAGACGAAGTTGCCCATGCCACAGACGAGCATGATGCCCACGAGGGCCATGCCAATGACAATCTTGGCAGCAAAGAAGGTACGGGAATTGGTCACATCCTCATCTTCATCCATAGGCATATCATAGTCACCATAGCTGAAGTTGAATGGGAACGGAGCAGCTTGGGCCCCATGGGAGGCAGGCACAGAAAGGAAGTCGGTGGAGGTGTTGGTGGCATTCTCATCCATGACCCCTATGGTGATCTCCATCTGGCCAGGTGGTACTCTAAACAACACTGCTTAGAATTCCTCTGAAGTGACCTGAGGGCGGCTGATGTCTTCTCCCCTCTCTGCTTACACTCACCTCTCCTTTAATGAGTCAGAGTGTATCTGCCAGTATCCTTGGGGTACAGCATCCGAGCTCGATTCTAAGCCTTTGAGAGACACACAAATAGTCGGCTACACATGTGAGTGGAACTGGCCAAATTTAAAACCATCCTGTAACCCCAGCAGACCCAGTAGCCACCTGCTCAGAAGGAACATTGAGTGACGTAGTGGAAATAAAGGAACCAGGGAGAGAAAACAAATGAATGAAAACCACATACCCACTCATACAGGGAAGACTGCACTGCTATAGAGACAACCGGATATTGGTTCAGTTTACTTCATTTCCACTGATGATTTGAAATGCTGCAATTTTGCTCAAGGATCAAAGCTGAGTGTGGGGAAACTAAAAAGAATGAAAGTGACCTTCTCCAAACTCTACTCCCCCTCCTAACAGCTTGAACTTAGTCTATGTGAAATTGTACAATTCTGTGGCTTCAAAGGAATTATTCTGACTGTCATCCATCAGCTGCATATGAGACAACCCTGTCTGCTTCTCTGAGCTGGTCCCCTTCCTCTGGCAGAACATGGCTCTAAGATCCCAGAACCTATCTAGCAGCCCCCTTACCCTCTTCTCCCTGGGTTTCCTGTCCCCACATGCAAGTCCGCTGTGACTCTAGTAGTCAGGCACAGCATTTGCCAAGGCAGGTCCCCAGGCAGAGGCTGCAGGGTTGAAATCACAGCCTAAATCCCTGAGTGACTTAGAAAGTGGGCTCTGGAGCAAAATCCTTCCTTGACTGGTTGTGTGTCCCGCGGTAAATAGCTTAAACACTCAAGAGTTTCAACATCCTCCAGGCAGCAGATCAATAACATCTGTAAAGCACGGAGCTCCCTAGAGAGGAAGGGTGTTACACCCTAGGACTGCAAAGAATTACTGAGTGCTCAGGCCTCCTCAGTCAGCCACAAGGAAGGGGAGGGGAATCCTGACCCAGATGACTGCACCACTTAGCACATATTGGGGGGCGGGTGGGAGGAGGGTTAGTTGCCCTGCCGGGGACCCCAAACCAAGAGGAACCCCTGCCTTCTCTTTGCAGTCCCATTCCTGCCCAAAGCCTGTAAACATCAGACCAGGTTACTGGGATGTAAGGGAGCTGGGGTCCAGAGAGGACCACAAATGTCGGGAACACTGGAGAGGGCAGGCAAGCATGGAAAGCCTGAGGTTCCTGGGTGTGGGAGACACCTAGCTGTCCCTGTACTCTGGAAAAGCCTGCTGCCCATACTCCTCAGTGGTGAGATCTCCAGAGCCTGTCTTTGGGGGACCTCTCTGCTCCCCAATGAGACCCAGCCACCACCGGCCTTTCTCCTCCAACTCCTCACCCCCATTTTTTTCTCACATTTCCCCCTTCCTCTGAGCCATCAGTTCTGTTCCTCTCAGTCCCTGCCCTTTGCCCCGGTCAGGTGTGAGCACAACCGAGAGCTGACAGGTCAGAGGGGGCCAAGTCCCGGGGGGGCACACAGGTACAGCTGCAATTCTGGAGGGACAGTCCTCATCCCTGGCAGTCCCCATGCCTCTCCGAGGTACGCCCACCCCCCAGGGGTACTCTCCAAGCAAGCTACCTGGACGGCTCCAAGTCAGGTTTTAAAAACAAAGAGTAATAAAAACTTCTTGGGGGCGTGGGGGCGGGAGGGGGTGGTGTTGGGAGATTTAGAACTCCGGGAGAAATTGTCCTGCGATCTCTTCTCCTGTGTTCTTACCTCAAAGAGCAACCCCATTCCGTTCCCACCCAGGGTGCGCCGGGGCCCTGTCCTTCAGCGCTCGACCCTGGCCAGCCCCTGCAGATCACTGGAAGCCTCTCTGCAGCCCCGGCTGAGAAGCCCTCTGGGGCTTCCAGCTTTTTCCACGGAGTCGCGGAGGCTACTCCAAGGGCAGAGGAACGGGGAGGCCGGCTCCCGTGAGGAAATGAGCGCGAAAGCAAGTATGTTGAAAAGCCTCCTCCGCGCTCAGAAGCCCCGCACCCGGCGGCCGCCAGTGCCGCGAGGGGTCCTCGGAGCATCTCTCCGCGAGTGCGCGCTCGGTACCTGCGGCATTCCGGCGGGCGGACGAGGTCGCGGCTCTCTCCCCGGGCCCGGGGACACGAACCGCTGCTCCCAGAGGCCCGCAGGGACCCAACCGGTCCCCTCTCTTCCTCCTCTTCTCCGGGCTCACTCCCGACTCCGGCTGGAGTTGCGCTCCCGCCGCCGCCGCAGATCCTCGAAACGCGAGCCCCGAGGCAGGGCCACCCCTAGCTCGGGCCCGCCCCGCACTGGCGGTCCCCGCCCCCGGTGGCCGCGGGGCGCCCTGGGCACCGCCAGCTGATTAGGAGAGGCGTGCTCGGGCCGAGTCCGCAAGGCTCCCGGACGTACTGGGGTCCCGGCTCCTGGGAGGTAGCAGCGGGAGGCAGGGCGGGGCTAGGCATGTTAGGGTCGCTGGGCAGGCGCGCGGCTGCGGACCCCGGAGTCCGGCCCGGGCCGGAGTGGCGGGGACGCAGAGGCGGCAGCTGGCGGCGAGGACACGCCGGAGGGAGCCGGGCCCCAAGCGGCGCGCGCTCCCAGCGCTCAGGGTCCGGAACGATGCCGCGGGCAGAATCGGGGGCGCTGGCGCTCAAAGCAGGGCTCAGCGCGGAACCCAGCAAGGAGTACCACCGGCCCGCTGTGCCCGCCCCGGGGCACAGGACTTGTGGACCAGCTCACCTGGTCGGCTCCGGCCGCTAGAGAGGGCGGACACGGCCCGCTTAGCTGGTGGGATTTCAAAGAACCCGGAGGGGCCTCCCCTCTCGCCCACAGCATCGCCCTCGCAGGAGACGCCGGGACCGACCTAAGCCTCGATTCCTCGGGCAAGCCCAGCGGCACACCCGGGTCAGCTTCATCTCAGCAGTTTGCACCTCTGTGTAAAAGAGTCTCAGAGAACTGCTTCCCTGAAAGCAATAAAGTCAGGGCATGGGGACCGTGTGGATGCTGGAAAGAGGGAGGAGTCCCCCGCCCACCCACATCTGATCCGAAGGCTAGGATGACCAGGGCCAACTTAACAGAGCACGGATCTCCTTGAAAAGTCTAGATTTCTCAAGCAATTAAATGTAGAATTACCCTATGATCCAGAAATTTCACTTAAAAAAAGAAAGAAACTCGGAAACGTGTACACCAGTGCTCGTAGCAGTATTATTCACAATAGCCAAAAGGTGGAAACAACCCAAATGTCTATCAAGTGATGAACCGTTTTTTCTTAATGTGGTATATTCATACCTGAGAATATTTTTCATCTTTAAAAAAAATAATGAAGTATAAGTGTCAGTGAGGATGTGGAGACATTGGAACCCTGGTGTGCTGATGGTGGGAATGTAAAAGGAGACAGCCACTGCGGAAGACAGTATGACAGTTCCTCAAAAGTTAAATAGAATCATCATAGGATGAACAATCTCACTTCTAGATACACACCCAGGATTGTTGAAAGCAGGGTCTCAAAGAACTATTTGTACAACTACGTTCATAGCAGCATTATTCACGATAGGCAAAAGGTGGAAACCACCCAAGGATGCATCAGCAGATGGAGGGTAAACAAAATGCATTCAATCAATGGGATATAAGTCAGCCTCCAAAAGGGAGGAAATTATGACATATGACACAATATGGATGAAACTTGAGGACATCATGCTAAGTGAAATAAGCTGGTCACAAAAAGACAAATACTGTATAATTCTACTTACATGAGGTACCAAGAGTAGTCCAAAGCAAAGACACAGAAAGGGGAATGGTGGTTGCCGGTGGCTAGAGGATTAAGGGAAGGCGGAGTGACTGTTTAATGGGTATGGAGTTTCAGTTTTGCAAGACGAAAAGAATCCTGGAAGTGGATGGTGGTGATGGTTGCACAATAATGTGAATGAGCTTAATTCACTGAATTTTACACTGCAAAATAGTTAAGATAGTAAATATTATGTGTATTTCACCACAGTAAAAAAGGGGGGGCACAGGGGAGGAATGAAGAATTGATTCATGCTACAATGTGGGTGAATCTCGAAAACATCATGTTAAGTGAAATAATTCAGACACAAAAAAAAATTTATATGATTCCACATATATGAAGTAAATCGGCAAATTCATAGAGTCAGGAAGTAGAATGGTATGTAGCAGGGGAGAAGGAATGGGAAGTTATTGTTTAGTGGATACAGAGTTTCTGTTTGAAGAGAAGAAAAAGTTCTGAAGATGGATACACTTAAAATAGTTAAAATGATCTATAGAATAGCTCAGTCCTCATTAGCAAGGGATCCAAGGTCAATCCTAATTTGACCTCCAACTGTCCATAATGGAAAGGGAGCTGCTCGGGTTCTGGATCTCTACTCCTCCTGCCACTATCAAGCCTCAGGCAAGTCCCATAAATTTCTAGAGCTCCCTTTCCTCATTTACAAAATGAGTTGAGCTTACACTGGGAGTCACTGCCAGGTTCCAGTACTTCATGCAATATCTTCCCCAGGGCCCCTATCCCTTCCTGAACACCTTCTCCTGTCATTCGCATGAAACTCCTGCCATTTGTAAAGATGTCACAATCCTTTCACATCTCTGAGTCTCATGTCCCCTGGGACATGGAACATGCTAGCAATTTAGAGAATGGTATATGGAGTCCCCTGCCTCCTTTCCACCTAGCTCTGTACACAGGAGCTGTGTGACCCTGGGCAGTATGGTAACCAAAGCTGAGCTTTCCCATTTGTAAATTACAGGTGGTAACGTTATTGCATAAGGATGTTGTGAGGATTAAATAAGGTAAAACCCGTCAAGTGTTTGACACAATGCCTGATGCTTAGCAGGCACCTGATAAACGCCAACTGTTACTATCATTCTATGATTCTTTCCCTATTGTGCTCCATGAGATCTTAATCAACCAATTTTCTTTCCACTTTGCACTGTTACCTGAAGAA